GGGGAATTTGCCCTGGACCATGGGGGGGGGGGGCTGTTTTTTTCAATGGTGGCAGACGCCAGACTGCGCCGTCAGCAGCTCTGTCGGCGTTCTGCCCAGCTGACTGATGTCACTGGTTGCAAGGAGCTAGGCAGGACGCAAGCTAGAGCATCCCCCCACAGCTCCTGGCAACCGGTGACATCAGTGAGTGGAAAGCCGCACCACAAAGAGCGTCACGGGTTGCTAAGAGCTCTCAGTAACCTGGGACACTGTGGCCGCATCCCATCATCAACCCCCCACCCCCTGGCTGATCTCCAATGAGATGTTACTTTATATGTGTTACATGACTTAATTCACAAAGTATAACTTAAAGTGGAAGTAATATTTAACACATGCTGATTGGTAGACATTTAAAGGGCAATAGGGACTGCGTTAGTCTCTTCTGCCATAAAAGCTTCTTCCTACCATTCTGCAATTTTGTTTTCCTGTGCCTTGCGCTGTGCATTCCCCATTTGTCACTGCAATCCTTGAAGTGACATTAAACCCTCAGATTTTTTACATAAACCAATACTGTAATGCGCGCCTTACTGTAATCCATGGTTGTTTCCCTTCTCTTTGCTGCTCTTCCTTTTAAATCCTCATGTCTTCTCATGCTGGGGGAGAACTTCCCTTTGCAGCTGAGTGCCTCTTCCTGTAGTGCTGGCTCAGGTTACAAACCTACACACAGACACCATGGGTGTGATTTACTAACCTAAAACACACGCACGCACCAGGTGCGTGTGATTTTCACACAGCAAAACGTATTTATCAACCAAAAAGTCTCTAAAAGCATATTTCCACTAATGCCATATATGGAAAAATCATGCACATGATGCATATAAAATGCTGCTTCACAGTTTAGACAAAAATGGTTAGCTCGTGCATTTACATTCCTGCATTCATCAACGCAAGCAACACAACGTAGAGCTAATTTACACAACATCACCTTGCAAATTCATGCAGGGCTTTGCACAACACACCTGCTGGGTGTGTACACACTACCAAGGTGTTTAGATTCCCCCCATAGATCATGCTGGGAGGGAACACACTACAGAGTGTATACATGTTCGTGGCGTGTTTATAAGGTTAGTAAATCAACCCCCATGTAGCCATTCCAGAGACAAGGCAGTCTGCTGCAAAACAGAAGTTCTGCCCAGCATGAGAAGAGATTTAAAAGGAAGAGCAGCAAAGAGAAGGGAAACTACCATGGATTACAGTAAGGCGCACATTACAGTATTGGTTTCTGTTAAAAAATCTGAGGGTTTAATGTCACTTTAAGGATGCCAATGCCATTATGGTGGTCAGAAGCTCTCTTACAGTTTCCTCGCCTCCTCCATGACTCTTCTGCGTTCGTTCATCTCTTTGCGCAGCTTCACCATCTCTCTCTGGATCTCCTCCTCCTCCTTCTTGGTCTTCAAGGCTTTCTGTTTGCTCTCCTCTTGGACCAGCAGCTGGGCCTGAGCCAAAGCCGCCTTCTTCATCGCCCTCTCCTGCTTCTGCTTCTCCAGCGCCTTTTGCCGCTGCGCTCGGTTCTCCTTCACCTGCGCAGATCATGTGACACCTTAACAGCAAGTCGGTGAAACGGCAAACGGCGCCGTCAGCAGTTTTACGGTCTGCAAAATGGTCAGCTAGTCAATTTAGAGATGTTCTATTGGCTTCCCGGTTATGTGATCACTGTAATTGGCTGTCACACAGCAACACGCCGGCCATATGAACACATACACATGGCAGCCCGGCATAAGGCCCAGTGCTGTGCTGCAACATATAGGGGTACAGCAGCAGCATTAAGGGGTTAATACCCTGTATGACCCCCCAGGCCCTGTAATCCCCTTGTGTTGTGTTTCAGCATCCCCACCTGCTGGTGCCTCACTTCCATGGTGACCCGCGGGTCCCTCTGCTTGGCCTTCCTCTTCTCCCCCTCCTCGCTCCGGAGGTTCTTGAGTATCCCAGAATCCACCACTTCTTTCTGGAGAAGCTTCTGCAGGAAGTCCTGGGTGTTGGTGTCCTCGGTCTCGTGCTCCAGATACTGATAGAGATCTGCAGGTAGACAAGGAAGGAGTGACACACTGAGCGGTCCTGTCATGTCATTGGTTTCACCTTCCATCAGGGAGATCTTTCTGCTACATTAAAACACAGAGGACACTGCGGTTTCTATATTGCAGCTTGCATTTTATGAATGGGTCACAAAATGCATGCCATGATGCGGCGTGAGCTAGGGGTGTATAGCCAAGGAGGAAGACCAGGACATATCTGTTATGGCTAAGGTTCATAACGGGTTAACAGTATTTGGTGACTGTTTTATTACAGGAGACATTGTTAGAGCTCCCACAACACAGACCAGGGCAAGCTGGGAAAATGACAGCTAACAGCTCTAGAGCCACGGCAGAGGAGGAAGACCAGGACGTATCTGATATGCCCAAAGTCCATAACGGGTTAACAGTGTTTGCTGGCTGTTTTATCACAGGAGATGTTGTTTAGCTCCCACAACACAGACCAGGACAAGCTGTAAACATGGCAGCTGGTCCTCCAGGTTTCCGACAGCTCTGAAGCCATGGGGGAGGAAAAAGACCAGGACGTACCTGGCACGCCCAAGGTCCACCGGTTAATAACGCATGTGGTTCAGTGTTTGATTAGACGCGTTTTGATGCAGCTCCTTATTAACTCCTTGCAGGCCAAACCTTACTTAGAAGTTCAGGAGGCAGTTCTGGAACACACTGCCCTGGATAGCAATCGGCAAATGCCAGGAGAAGCTGCCACCCACAAGCCCGCAGTGTGCCCGGGCCTGTAGGCAGAGATGCTGCCTGGACAGTAACACAGAAGTCTGGACCTTCTATAGATAGTAATCAGTTGATGGCCCAGTGCAGAAGAAGAATACCGTTCAGCAAGTAGGCTGTGCCCCCCCCCCCGCGGGTCAGTTATATATCCCGCTCTATAGAGGAGCATGGGGCCGAAATGAAAGACTTTCACCATTGACGGGCCCCAGCTTTTGGTATGCCCTGCAGCCAGGCCAGGTCTGACCCACATGGGCCTTCAATATAACCAGAGAAGACGAATACTGCGGCTGATCACCTCTTGGGTGTGATCTGCATCTGCCCGCTACAGGAAACTGCAAGCTGGCGCCCTCTACAGGAAACTGCAAGCTGGCGCCCACTAGAGGAAACTGCAAGCTAGCACCCGCTACAGGAAACTGCAAGCTGGCGCCCTCTACAGGAAACTGCAAGCTGGTGCCTTCTACAGGAAACTGCAAGGTGGCGCCCACTAGAGGAAACTGCAAGCTAGCACCCGCTACAGGAAACTGCAAGCTGGTGCCTTCTACAGGAAACTGCAAGCTGGTGCCTTCTACAGGAAACTGCAAGCTGGCGCCCTCTACAGGAAGCTGCAAGCTGGCGCCCTCTACAGGAAACTGCAAGCTGGTGCCTTCTACAGGAAACTGCAAGCTGGCGCCCTCTACAGGAAACTGCAAGCTGGCGCCCTCTACAGGAAACTGCAAGCTGGCGCCCACTAGAGGAAACTGCAAGCTGGCGCCCACTAGAGGAAACTGCAAGCTGGCGCCCACTAGAGGAAACTGCAAGCTGGCGCCCTCTACAGGAAACTGCAAGCTGGCGCCCTCTACAGGAAACTGCAAGCTGGCGCCCTCAACAGGAAACTGCAAGCCGGCGCCCTCAACAGGAAACTGCAAGCCGGCGCCCTCAACAGGAAACTGCAAGCTGGCGCCCTCAACAGGAAACTGCAAGCTGGCGCCCTCAACAGGAAACTGCAAGCTGGCGCCCTCTACAGGAGACTGCAAGCTGGCGCCCTCTACAGGAAACTGCAAGCTGGCGCCCTCTACAGGAAACTGCGAGCTGGCGCCCTCTACAGGAAACTGTGGGCTGGCGCCCTCTACAGGAAACTGTGAGCTGGCGCCCTCTACAGGAAACTGCGAGCTGGCGCCCTGTACAGCCAGAGAAGCTCCCCGCAATCTTACCTTCAAACTTGTTGTACTTGATGAACTCCGGAGGGGGCAGTTTTGGGGGCTCTGCGGCGGTGTTATCCGGCTCTTCATCCTCTTCACTGGCCAGTTCCAGCCTCAGCTTATTGCTCAGCCACTCGCTCAGCAGCTCCTGGGCTGGGGGGTGGGGGGGAGAGAATGTGGAGTCATCACTCTATACACATGACACTGTCAAAGCAACTCAGAGACTGTAAAGCTCAACTCCTGGCAGAGAACTAACTACATACATGATATGGATATAAGGGGGGCTGCTTTGCCGGCCACATGATTTGTCTTTGTCCATCTAGTTCTCAGATTTACACAGCTGTGCCACACTGCATAGTACTGTCTGGCGCTTGAATAGCTTCCTCAGACAGCTGAGGAGCCGGAAGTGATGCAATCAGCTCCATTCAGCCGGGAGGAGATCGCCGAGAGGATGTTCGCTGCTCTCTCCCTGCTTTGCTGCCCGCAGACGCCCGCCATGCGGAGCCTGGGAAGCAAGGTCAGGTGACGTACGGAATACATGGTTGGCAGCAAAGGGGTTAAAGAGCCCAGGCACAGAAGCATCGAGTATTTTAAACGCTTACGTATAATCCACAAATGACTTTTTATTCACTTGAGGATGTGCCTCTGAACTTGCTAGAAAATCTGACTTCCGCAGGAAGAGTCAATTACTTAGCACCTCCCGCTCCCAGGTCATAGCCCTTCCCTTATCTGGGAGTGTCTAACTACTGTCTGCGCTGACCTGGCTCCTCAACCCGCCCCATACCTACATAATCTTTTATATCACTGCCAAGGGAATACTATAGAGCAGGGGTAAGGCAACCTTGGCCATCCAGCTACGGTGCAACTACAAGTCCCATGAGGCATTGCAAGCCACATACATGACTTCCAGAGGCAGATGCATGCTGGGGATTGTAGTTTTATCACAGACTTTCTATTTCCCCTGCTATAGAGAGTCACGTCAGTGACAGCTCTGAGGCTGCTGACATCACACCCAGCAGCAGTCCCAGGGAGGGGTGGTTCTGTGAGACCTCTGCAGAGAGACCACTGCTTCCAGAGGCCTCTGTTGTGCTTTAATAAATGTTCTCCAACACTTAATCCAACTGAGCAGCAATGATCTGACCTGTGTACAGCCAACATAAAAAACACAACATTGTACTTCTTGTTTCTTCCCCGGCAGCCCCGTCACCCGCCTCGGGTTTTACCTTCGGTGTAAGCGTCGTCGTGGTCGTGGAGCTGGTCGGGGGATTCCAGATCCAGTGTGGGACGTGGGGCTCTCTGTGCGCCCCGAGCCGGCTTTTTATTGGAGAACGCTTCAGAAACGGCGAATTCCGAGGCCTGCTCCACTCTCTGCGGATACCAAAAGTCAGGCGGCAAGAGTTAGAACTGAGGATTCACCGACGGGGAAAGTTCTGCTTGTGATTCACCATCATTACTGCAATGTGGCCAGATATCCACAAGGTGGCGCCATCTGTCTCATTGTTATTGTCCGTCGCTTGTTCTTATCAGAACGTATAAAGTTGGTGCTGGATTTTTTTTTTTGTATGGAAATTAATCTACCTGCATGTGTTCCTAGCGTGTTCCTGAGTTCTGTGACAGTGGTCAAAGTTCATCACCAAATAAGCACTCACGGTCGGGGAGGACGGGCTCTATTTGATCTGAACACTGATTGCAGACCTACCTCTGCAGAGAGACCACTGCTTCTCAAGGCCGTATTTGTGCTTCAATAAATGTCCTCCAATGTTTATAAGAGATCTGAACACTGATTGGTGGCTATAGGTCTGACTAAAGGGAGGCTGTTGGACCTCTGAAGAGACCACTGCTTCCAAAGGCCTTTAATAAATGTCATCCGACATTTTCAAGATCTCCGAACACTCATGGGGGAAGGGCTGTCAGACCTCTGCAGAGAGACCACAGCTTCCAAGTGCCTCAGTTGTGCTTTAATAAATGTCCTCCAATGTTTATAAGAGATCTGAACACTGATTGCAGAACTTTAAAGGAGAACTATGAGGGGGAGGGGCTTTTCACTCCCCTCATAGTTCTAGCCGACCTGTGACAAACTCATTGGTGGGAGGGCTGTCAGACCTCTGCAGAGGGACCACAGCCTCCCAAGGACTCAATTGGCCTTTAATAAATGTCCTCCAATGTTTTCAAGAGATCTGAACACTGATTGCAGAGCTATCAGTTCTGGGAGAGCTGTCAGACCTCTGCAGAGAGGCCGCTGCTTCCCGAAGCCTCAATTACCCTTTAATAAATCTCCTCCAATGTTTTCAAGACAGCCGAGCTCTGTGGCTGGAAGTAGCAAGGCACCTGGCGGGGAAACCCGGAAATGAGTGGAGGTTTTTAAGGAACGGCAGCTCCTAAAGAGAATGAAGTTCGGCAGAGGGGGGAGCACGGCAGGCGAGTGTGACACCCCCTCTTTATTGGGGAACCTTGTGTAGCACTTTTCCATTTTGTGACACTCTAAGTAACACACAATAACGGGGAACGTTGTCACCTACCTTGATCCAGTGCTCCACATTGTCGCTGTCAAACGCCGGCTGTGAACAAGAGACGGGACAGGAAGTGAGCCGGGACAGGAAGTGAGCCGGAGAATCACCTCATGACAACATTCCTGTACAAGAGTTTCAATGAGACCTTTATTGGCCTGAATCTGACCCCTCGCTAGGCCCCGATAACATGAAGGGAAACCCATGAAATCTCATATACGATGGATGTAAGTTGTTTCCAATCCATTTAAATCCCTGGTGATCCTACCATGATAGTCTTTGTTCAGGAACTTCCTGTTATGGGTGACAACTAGTGATGGGCTCGGGCGTGTTCGCAGGTCCACATGCCGAGCCCGCCAGGAAGCTGACAGCGCCAATCACAGGCACTGAGACATATCTCCATCTCTGCTGCTGCGGACCGGGATAATGTCTCAGTGCCTGTGATTGGCGGGAGCTGCGCACATGCCCGAGCCCACCACTAGTGACAACGCTCTGTCCCTGTCTCCCATTTATGCTTCTGTTTTGTTATCCTGTCATATAGGCTTCCAATGGAGACTATAAGCGGCTGTTTCAACTCACATTACACAGACGCATTGCCTCCACTGCCCTTGTGTTGTCACCATTGCCCACGCATTGCCTCCACTGCGCTTGTGTTGTCACCATTGCCTGCATGCTGTCACTATTACCCGTGTGTTGTCACCATTGCCTCCACTGTCTATGTGTTGTTACCATAGCCCATGTGTTGCCATCCCCTGCCTGTGGGTTGTCACCATTGCCTGCATATTGTCAACACTGCCCATGTGTTGTCACTAACGTCCATGTGTTGCCATCCTTTGCCTGTGGGTTGTCACCATCGTCCATGTGTTGTGCCTGTTACCTTTGCCTGCGTGTTATCACCCCTGTCCTTTGTCCCCCCCGCCATACTCACTAACCTGCTTGTATGTCACCTCAGTAGTATAGCACAATACCCCTTCTCTCCTCTCTCACAGGCCCCCGGCTATGCTGGCACCCACTCCCCGGGTCTCACCTTGCTGCCTCCCGTCCTCTGCCTCTTCCAGCGGTATAGCCCTGGCCGGGCCCCACCAGCACCTGCCCTCATATCCCCGGCTCCTGGCAACATTGTGCTCACAGCTCAGCTCCCTGCTGGGTTTGGGGCCGTCAAGGATGCTGGGATTGGTAGTCCTACTCGGAGAATTCCTCCACCGCTAACAATGTTGGCCGGACTACAAATCCCGGCGTGCCGTGCAGCGCAACGGAAGCGTCTTGCGGTATCTAAGGTAACAGAGTCTGGACAACTTGTGACTGCTGACAGCGGGCGGTGGATGATGACGTGGCTGAAGCGGATTGGAGAAGGCCGCTGATGGAGAAAGTGAGCGACTTCCGGGACACATGCACATGTTACAGGTGAGTGTAATTCAGGAATGAAAAGTGTCACCTCTGTCAGTGTGTCCGTCACTAAGCACTCTGCACCATGGCAGGGGAATCTAGATACTTCACTGGATATTCAGGAGGGGGATTTATACAGTACACAAAGCAAAGCAGAGACCTCTCCAGATGTGTTCTGTTCTGTCCAGTGTTTTCTCTCTGGGATCCTCTTATATGTTTACTGATTCCGTACTGGAAGTGGTTCTGTTAAGGAACATGTCACTTTTCCCATTCAAAACATGCAGACAGGTCCTGTTAAAGGACAACTGTACCTATGGCAGAATTGTCCTTTAATTAGCCCCCACCCCTTCCACACTAGATTACAGTCCTTAGTCTGTTTCTTTGAATTTTTGCTATGCAGCAGAGGCATTCCAGTGAAAACGTCCATGCCAGGTTTTCCTTTCCCATTCCTTCCTATGGAGAGAGCTGTATTCTGATGGGCCCCTGAGTACGGCTGACTTATTGGAATGATTAGGGCCGCACATACGTAGTAAGAGGGAAGACCTGGCAGGGATACCTTCACTGGAAAGGCTGTGCAGGGCCACACACCAGAGACCCCTGGTTTAGGAGGCAGAAAGTGAGGATCACCAGCACTCAGGAGATGACGTTCAAATCACAAAGTCCATTTATTCAGATAAATCGGCACATATGTGACCTTTATTGCCCCGTTGAAGGGACCCTGTGTGGTCCAGAAACGTTGGCTATATGTGACGATTTAGCTGAATAAATGGACATTATGATTTGAACGTCATCTTCTGAGTGCTGGTGATCCCTCACTTTCTACCAATTGATGAACACGGCGCCATCCGTGATTATCACTACAAGCACCACCATTGTGATTTGGTCTGAGATGCTGCAAGGAGTGCAGCGGGACACATTGTTATACTATGGTTGAGGAGACAGGTACGTATTTGAGCAAGGGGGGAAGGAGAATTACGGGAAGGAAGGAATCAGCAACAGCAGATTCAAGGTGCGGGGTTTAAAGTGCCAATGACCACCAATGATTGGGGGAGGGAGGATTTTAATTGCTACTACTTGGCTCCGTTTGGCGACTTTTCAAGGCTAAGCGCTCCCTAACCACCTAAAAGCCGCTGCAATTCCTTTCCAAAAAGTAGCGACCAAAGAATCAGATCACCTTGGGGTGTCTACTTTTCAAAGAAAAAAAACTGAATCATTTCGGGGTGCTTGTACTGTTCTGGCATTTTTATGTGATATGCTTCATAGCAGAACGTAAGTGAAACTTTTTCCTAATTAAAAAATAACAATGGTTATTAATTACAATCAGATGAAAGCTCTATCTGTATCAAAAAAACATCTACAATTCATTTGGGTTCAGTGTTCCCTAACCGAGTTATTGTCAGTCAAACTATCACAATGTCACTCAGCTCTGTGAATATGGACTTCCTTTTGTGTCTATTCATTTCTTCCTCTCTGTTCTTCCTGCATCTGACGGGTTTAGTTGCCATGATGAAGCTGACAATCAGTAAAGTGACGGGAAGAGCTCGCCTTGGAGTCATCACAAGCCTAGGACAGAGCGGGGAGAAGTCCCTGGAGGTTCCTGGATGTCTCCTGTACACGAAGACGGCATCTCCACCGCATCTCACCCACGATACACTGCAGACCATCGAAGGAGTCCCCCCTGTCACTCATGTCACACTCTCCTCACTGTAAGTACAACTTTTCATGAGTCCTCTCTTAGACAATTGTCTCCGGAGCTGGTGTCCCCATTGGATGTTTTCCCCCCATTCCTGACAACAGAACAGGAAACGCTTTCTTTAATGACACTTTTAGCTCCTTATCTGACTGCCGAAACTATGGGGGGAAATAAAGTCTGCTTGTGATGGTTTTGTTTGCAGGGCTGAACATCAGGAGGTGCTAGAGGAGTATAAAGAAGGAATTGGGAAGTTTGCTGGTAAGTACACAGGAGAAGATTTTACTGCTTGTGTTACTGGAACTGTCACTGAGAAAACCAATATTCTTGTAAATTATGATTGAAGTAGATATTTTAGGGGTATATTTAGCGTGTATGCTCATGTATTGCAGGACATTCTTTTGGCTAATGTTATTTAACACACCTATGCTAACTAGGTTTTTATTGTGTACTTTTATTGACCAGGTGACCGTACTGTTTTGTTGATTGTACACAAAGGAACAGCTGTAGGGAATGTTGTCAAAACCTGTTTAGTTAACTAACATCAAAGGGGTCATTAGACCAGCCAATCGGAAATCCTTTCAGTGTTAAGGTGCCCATGCACTTTACAACCCTCGCAAGACTTTTGTCTTGCGAGGGTTGTAAAGTACTTTAAAAAACGTACGACCGCCCATCTTGGACAGGCAGATCGTACTTGCGATCATCACAAGCCCGCCCCCCTGAGGGGCGGGCTTACGATGACTGCAATGAGGGGCGGGCTTACGATGACTGCAATGAGGGGCGGGCTTACGATGACTGCAAACGGGCTGTGTGTGCGTGCGCACACCGGCCTGTTCGGCAGTTGTCGAACCAGCAGGCCACTAACTCGCCGAGTATCGTACGATTCCCGGCGGGTTTTCTAGCCTGCTGATTCGACGGAAGACGTGCGACCGTTTCTACTGTACGATTCTTGCACGCCTTCCATACACTGCACGATTCTCGTACAATCGCGGGATTTCGCGCGATTCTCGTACGAGAATCGTGCAGTGTATGGGCACCTTTAGTGAATGGCACTAAACTGTATATGAATTCAGAGCTGACAGTGGCTAGAAAGAGATCAGAGTCATGAAGGGAGGCACAGAGGTGGATATATAGATTGGAGATATATGCTGGGTAGTTAGAAGTGGGTCATCATGGAACCTTTGGCATCTGAGGTCTAGATATTTTGCTCTGTATTACTCTGTTGGACTGTTCCTGTTCATTTTTTACTTCGATCCAATTAAACGCTACTCTCTGGAAAGAATTGAGGTTGCCTCGATTTTCACAACGCACATAAATATATATATTTGGGTATTTTATATATTTATACACCCGCCATATATTACATCACTACAAATATGTGTGTTCTCAGTGATGTCACCAGTCTCTAGTGAATGGATAGGCTGCATTCTCAGTGATGTCACCAGTCTCTAGTGAATGGATAGGCTTCATTCTCAGTGATGTCACCGGTCTATAGTGGATGGATAGGCTGCATTCTTAGCGATGTCACTGGTCTCTAGTGAATGGATAGGCTGCATTCTAAGTGATGTCACCAGTCTCTAGTGATAGGATGCAGTTCCTGTGATGTCACTGGTAGGATAGGCTGCATTCTCAGTGATGTCACCGGTCTCTAGTTAATGGATAGGCTGCATTCTCAGTGATGTCACCGGTCTCTAGTGATTAGATAGGCTGCCTTCTAAGTGATGTCACCATTCTCTAGTGAAGGGATAGGCTGCATTCTCAGTAATGTCACCGGTCTCTAGTGAATGGATAGGCTGCATTCTCAATGATGTCACCGGTCTCTAGTGAATGGATAGGCTGCATTCTCAGTGGTGTCACCGGTCTCTAGTGAATGAATAGGCTGCATTCTCGGTGGTGTCACCAGTTTCCATTGATCAGATCGGCTGTAATCTCAAACCATAACAATAAGTCACAACTGGGAGGACTCCAGCTGTTGTGGAACCACAATTCCAATGGGGCATTGCAAGACTAACTAACATGGCTCACAGCAGCATAATGAGATTTGTAGTTTCAGCACAGTGAACAGGAGTGTAGAAGTTGCCTACCCCTACCATAGCTGCTCTTACAGTACATACTGCTTTTAGTTTGCTTTGGTAAATTGGTAAATGGTTTAATTTTTTTCCAGTGAGTAGTTGTGTGATTTATTAATAATAAAGCTATGAATGAATCGGATGCGTCTTTTTATAGTTAAAAGTACAAAATAAATCTTGTTTTCTTCTATAAAGAAGTCAGAAAATAGGACACTTTGTTCATATTGATTTCACTTCCCCAGAACACGAAGATCTTCTTCTCGGTTCTGGTAATGGGTGGCGGTACAGCGGTGTGCTTTGTAGTCATAGTGGCAGCTCCTCGTCCTGCGTGGGGTTGTTTATCGCTTCTTCTCTGATTAGTGTGGTCGGAAAGTGGTGACTACAGGAAGTCCAGGACAGGAAGTGACCCTGTTAACAGCCTCGCTTTGTGTTTTGTTTTGTGCAGGTCTGTCAGACGCAGTCTTGTATTGTTCTGTCAGTGACCCCGTCACCCCCAGCCCCAACGGATACAACACCAACAAGGTAAAGTTCTCTGCGCAGCATCCTTAGATAAAATGTGACGTCAACCCAAATTTCATTTAACGTTTTCATCAATAAAGCTCTTATGTTCCCTCGGATAATACGTCTTATGTTTCATCAAACCGCGCTGATGTAACATGAGCGTACCGTCCACCTAATATTGGGTTATATGTGATCTGTTGCCTTAAAGTGAACCTGTAGAATAAACAGGATAAATATATACAGTGACCAGCCATAACATTATGAAGCCCCGCCTAATATTGAGTAGGTCCCCCTTCTCCTGACCCGTCCAGGCATGAACTCCACTAGACCTCTGAAGGTGTGCTGTGGTATCTGGCACCAAGCCGTCAGTAGCAGATCCTTTAAGTCCTGTAAGTTGTGAGGTGATCGGCCTCCATGGATCGGACTTGTTTTTCCTGCACATCCCACAGATGATCGATTGGATTGAGATCTGGAGAATTTGTAGGCCAAGTACCCCTCAAACTCCTTGTTATGTTCCTCAAACCATTCTTGAACCATTTTTGCAGTGTGGCAGGGCGCATTATCCTGCTGAAAGAGGCCACTGCCGTCAGAGAATACCGTGTAGGGGGGTACTTGGTCAGTAACAATGTTTAGGTCGGTGGGATGTGTCAGAGTGACATCCACATGAATGGCAGGACCCGAGGTTTCCCAGCAGAACATTGCCCAAAACATCACACTGCCTCCGCCAGCGTGTCTTCTTCCCATAGTGCACCCTGGTCCCATCTCTTCCCCAGGTTAGTGACACACACGCACCCGGCTGTCCACATGATGTAAAAGAAAATGTGATCCATCAGACCAGGCCACCTTCTTCCATTGCTCCGTGGTCCAGTTCTCATGCTCTTGTGCCCATTGTAGGCGCTTTTGGTGGTGGATACGGGTCAGCATGGGCACCCTGACCAGTCTGCGGCTACACAACCCTGTACGTAACAAACTGCGATGCTCTGTGTGTTCAGACACCTTTCTATCAGAACCAACATTCAGTTATTCAGCAATATGAGCTCCAGTAGCTCTTTTATTGGATCGGACTACACGGGCCAACCTTCGCTCCCCTCATACATCAATGAGCCTTGGCTGCTCATGGCCTGTCACCAGTTCACTTGTTTTCCTTCCTTGGACCACTTTTGGTCGGTCCTGACCATTGCAGACCGGGAACATCCCACAAGAGCTGCAGTTTTGGGGATGTTCTGACCCAGTCGTCTAGACTTCACAATTTGGTCCTTGCGAAAGTCCCTCAAATCCTCACACTTGTCCATTTTCTTCTGCTTCCAACACATCAACTTCAAGGAGAAAATGTAGCAATAAAATAAATATATTTCTATTTAGGTTTGTTGAGTCAGGTTTAGGTTTTTTTCTAGTGTCTATTGTTCTGCATCTTATTACTGGAGACTCTGAACTTTGTAATCTGGAGTCACTTTGTTCTTCTGTTTTAATTATAGTCAGCCGATACCATTCTTGCCCCCTGTTCTCTCCCCCTACTGGCGAAGGGACATACCTGGTACTTCCAGATGTGGAGAGCATGCGGCTCTTTACCTTCCCTTTATCTGTGCAACTGCTGGGTGTCAGCAGCCAATCGTAAGTCCCGAGTCCTGTCACATGGGGGGCAGGGGGACCCCTCCTGTAGGCTCTGTTTGGAGTGAACTAAACTTCTCTTACCTGACCCTAGTGGGCACACTGGGGGAGGGGGCCAAAGAACTACAAATCCAGGACTGGTAAGTATTATGTGTCCTATTACTGACTTGCATAGGGTTTTGGGAACTACTGAGCAGGCGTTTTCTCCTCCACAGACAGTGTCAGTGTGGGGTTCTGGAGGGCGGATCGAGCTGACCCCTCAGAAGTTCATGTCCATCCAGAGCGCTCTGAAGGTGGACTGGTTCCAGTGTCTGGCCGATGGTGAGGTGATGCCCAGCGGCTGCTCCAGGAAGAGGGCAAAGAAGTCGGTTGACCGCTCCCTGAGCTTTTTGGATGAATGTCTTCAGCTACTGGCAAAGAACGATGTGAGTGCGGCTTTGGGAGGGATCTGTACATTGTATTTTGTGTAATGAAAATGGTTTATACCCAGCAGCAAAAACGCACAAAGCAAAATGCTCTGCCTCCTCTAACCAATAATGGCAAATGGATCACCATTGGTGGATAGGGGTTCCTGTTCACCCTCCATATGATATCTTAAGATATTGCATGAAAATCATTCATAAAAAAAAGTCTTTGACGCGTTCAAGCCAAAAAGGCCTTAATTTATGAGGCTATAGCCTTAAGGCTATGAGCCATGGACTATGATTAAGGCCTTTTTGGCTGAAACGCATCAACATGTTTCTGCTGCTTTTACACATCTATTAATAAAGGATTTTTTATGAAGGATCCTTAGGTGGGATCTTAAGATATACCAAGATTTAAGAGTCCCCACTTGCATCTAGTAGTGTATCTGGGTTGCTTCATACTCGCTCCCCTCTGGGGGTACACACCGCTTCCACATCATACATGTTATGTTAGTTATAAATTGTGCCGAACAGACATCTCCTTTAATAAACAGAGTCCATCTGATCTGCAATGTTGGACATTTCTGGCCTCAGGTACTGAAGGATAAGGTTGTGATCGGGGCCATTGAAGGAGGCGACCTCCTGGACGAGAGGCTGAGGTCGGCACGCGAGACAGCAAAGAGGCCTGTGGGAGGATTCTTATTGGATGCATTCCAGGGGACCGCGATGACCCAGGAAACAAAACTGAACCTCATCTCGTCTGTAACGGCAGAGCTGCCAGAGGAGAAGCCAAGGTACCTTCCTTCTTATCTTCTCTGTTACATATTTTACTTATTAAATGGACTTCCCATTTCAGTGTTTGGTGGATGCTGGAGAGTTAAACCCCCTGACAGTCTCTCCTATCTCTCGCAGACTCTGTTAGTGAGCTCACTGCACTGGTTCTGCATGCCACCTGTGCCCATTATAGGGGACTTTTATCATCCCCACATTGAATTCCCAGGTCTGTATACCTGTGCTGAGTTCCCGGGTCTGTACACCTGCTGTGCCCATTATGAGGCCCTCTCACCATCCCTGTGCCGGGTTCCCGGGTCTGTACACCTGATGTGCCCATTATGAGGGCCTCCCACAACCCCTGTGCCGAGTTCCCGGGTCTGTCCACCCGCTGTGCCCATTATGAGGCCCTCTCACCATCCCTGTGCCGGGTTCCCGGGTCTGTCCACCCGCTGTGCCCATTATGAGGGGCTCCCACCATCCCTGTGCTGAGTTCCAGGTCTGTACACCTGCAGTGCCCATTATGAGGGATTCCCACCATCCCTGTGCTGAGTTCCAGGGTCTGTACACCTGCCGTGCCCATTATGAGGCGCTCTCACCATCCCTGTGCCGAGTTCCCGGATCTGTACACCCGCTGCGCCCATTATGAGGAGCTCCCCCCATCCCTGTGCTGAGTTCCCGGGTCTGTACACCTGCCGTGCCCATTATGAGGCGCTCTCACCATCCCTGTGCCGAGTTCCCGGATCTGTACACCCGCTGCGCCCATTATGAGGAGCTCCCCCCATCCCTGTGCTGAGTTCCCGGGTCTGTACACCTGCCGTGCCCATTATGAGGCGCTCTCACCATCCCTGTGCCGAGTTCCCGGATCTGTACACCCGCTGCGCCCATTATGAGGAGCTCCCCCCATCCCTGTGCTGAGTTCCCGGGTCTGTACACCTGCCGTGCCCATTATGAGGCGCTCTCACCATCCCTGTGCCGAGTTCCCGGATCTGTACACCCGCTGCGCCCATTATGAGGAGCTCCCACCATCCCTGTGCTGAGTTCCCAGGGCTGCACACTGACTGTTCCCAAAACTTGTGTGTCAAGGAAGTGTATTACAGTGAGTACAAAAATGCTATTTCTTTTCACGATTGGATAATTGATTGTGTGAGCTTCTCTTCAGCAAATCAGCCGAATTAGAATTCTGGAGGTTAGTCGCATTTTAACATATGTGGAGTTATTTTTGAATGAATGGATGACGGTATTAATGGTTGTTTTATATATGTGTGGAGCTTATTTGTAAGTCACGAGCTTGTTAATACAAGTGACACTAAACACCACGGTGGTGATAGAAGCAAATCCTCTAAAAATAATAATTTCCTGTTGTACAGTATTTGTGGATCTTCTTGCTATACTCTGCACGGCATGTTGTGGTGTTTTTAGTGCGTAGACTTCGTGCTGAAGTATTTTAACCTCTGTGGTTCCTGATTCCCCCCCCCCTCCTGTTCCCGGCCTGCAGGTTCATACACGGTGTTGGGCGGCCAGACGAGGTTCTAAACTGTGTTGAGCTCGGCGTGGATTTGTTTGACAGCAGTTTCCCTTATGAGGTGGCTGAGAGAGGCTGCGCCCTGTCCTTCGATCACCAGTACGAGCCGGACCCAGAGACTGCAGGTGGACATCCAAGTCCTGACCGTACCCCAGAGTTTAATGGTATCTGTGTGCTAAGTGTTGCCACATCATGGCGTCTCTCATCATCCTGTAATGTCTTCTGTGTTATAAAACTGTCTAGTATAACCCCAGAGTTCCTTGCAGTCATCAAAGCCCCGGTGCGCAACCTGTGGCCCTAGAGCCACATGCGGCCATTTGGTGGTTGAAGTGCAGTCCTCAGGCCCCAGCAGTCAGAGGTGATAGCAATATTTTGTAAAGGGGCCTTTAATAACAGTAACCTCTCGCAGTCTTGTTTAACATGTCTCCAGTCTCTGACGGTCTCCTCCAGGAAGGAGGTCCTGATTCCTCTATATAGATCTTTATTATCTCTAGAGGGATCTCCAGCAGGAGGAAGGAGGTCCTGATCCCTCTATATAGATCTTTATTATCTCTAGAGGGATCTCCAGCAGGAGGAAGGAGGTCCTGATCCCTCTATATAGATCTTTATTATCTCTAGAGGGATCTCCAGCAGGAGGAAGGAGGTCCTGATCCCTCTATATAGATCTTTATTATCTCTAGAGGGATCTCCAGCAGGAGGAAGGAGGTCCTGATCCCTCTATATAGATCTTTATTATCTCTAGAGGGATCTCCAGCAGGAGGAAGGAGGTCCTGATCCCTCTATATAGATCTTTATTATCTCTAGAGGGATCTCCAGCAGGAGGAAGGAGGTCCTGATCCCTCTATATAGATCTTTATTATCTCTAGAGGGATCTCCAGCAGGAGGAAGGAGGTCCTGATCCCTCTATATAGATCTTTATTATCTCTAGAGGGATCTCCAGCAGGAGGAAGGAGGTCCTGATCCCTCTATATAGATCTTTATTATCTCTAGAGGGATCTCCAGCAGGAGGAAGGAGGTCCTGATCCCTCTATATAGATCTTTATTATCTCTAGAGGGATCTCCAGCAGGAGGAAGGAGGTCCTGATCCCTCTATATAGATCTTTATTATCTCTAGAGGGATCTCCAGCAGGAGGAAGGAGGTCCTGATCCCTCTATATAGATCTTTATTATCTCTAGAGGGATCTCCAGCAGGAGGAAGGAGGTCCTGATCCCTCTATATAGATCTTTATTATCTCTAGAGGGATCTCCAGCAGGAGGAAGGAGGTCCTGATCCCTCTATATAGATCTTTATTATCTCTAGAGGGATCTCCAGCAGGAGGAAGGAGGTCCTGATCCCTCTATATAGATCTTTATTATCTCTAGAGGGATCTCCAGCAGGAGGAAGGAGGTCCTGATCCCTCTATATAGATCTTTATTATCTCTAGAGGGATCTCCAGCAGGAGGAAGGAGGTCCTGATCCCTCTATATAGATCTTTATTATCTCTAGAGGGATCTCCAGCAGGAGGAAGGAGGTCCTGATCCCTCTATATAGATCTTTATTATCTCTAGAGGGATCTCCAGCAGGAGGAAGGAGGTCCTGATCCCTCTATATAGATCTTTATTATCTCTAGAGGGATCTCCAGCAGGAGGAAGGAGGTCCTGATCCCTCTATATAGATCTTTATTATCTCTAGAGGGATCTCCAGCAGGAGGAAGGAGGTCCTGATCCCTCTATATAGATCTTTATTATCTCTAGAGGGATCTCCAGCAGGAGGAAGGAGGTCCTGATCCCTCTATATAGATCTTTATTATCTCTAGAGGGATCTCCAGCAGGAGGAAGGAGGTCCTGATCCCTCTATATAGATCTTTATTATCTCTAGAGGGATCTCCAGCAGGAGGAAGGAGGTCCTGATCCCTCTATATAGATCTTTATTATCTCTAGAGGGATCTCCAGCAGGAGGAAGGAGGTCCTGATCCCTCTATATAGATCTTTATTATCACTAGAGGGGTCCCCAGCAGAAGGAAGGAGGTCCTGATTCCTCTAGAACTTTCACAAATGTCATAAGGCAAAAGCTACATAATATATTTGTATTAAGCATTTAACAGCTATGTGGAGGATAGAATAGAGGTATATTGAGGCTGTTTTTCTTGTGACTGTCTTTGGTGGACCTTACTGGAAAACTGTAATTAGCACTGAGGGTTTAATACTACTTTAAGGTAACAGTAGCCCGAAATTCCTATTTAAGACTTTCCATCTCTATTTCCCAGCATGCCCTGCTACCCTCCAGTATTTTATCAGTGAGTCTGTTCTTAGCCTCAGAAACCCCAGCAAGTGTGACCATGTTATTCTCATTTCTAGTTCTAGACAAAGCCGAGCTCTGTGATGTAGAGAAGAACAGGGAAGATCAGACGGAGAATGATAAGCTAGAGCTGGACCAATCCCAGATGACCTCCTATGAGATCTGCCTGAAGGAGAAGAGGTCTGTATTGCAGGGCAGGAGTCCTGCCCAACCAACCATGTGTAGTCTTCCTACCAACACAAGGAAGACTTGAGCTGTCATGGGAGAGGCAACGCAGGCTGAGATGGATCCAGTGTTGTGACATTTCATCAGTTCCATAGGGGAGATGCTGCTCTTGGAAGAGTTTAAATGTCCAGTTAAAGGTCCCGACCCCTCTTGCTGCACCCCACCGCTTGTTTCTGTGATGTGGCTGTGCAAGAAAAGGCTCGTCTGCTACATCAATGGCCAGTATATGGGTTGGCATTTTCTAACAAAGCAAGTAGAAAAGATGGTTCCTATAGGTGCTCCACTGCAGGCAGATTATGTATTTTAATCAATGGCAAGTGCTGTTTGGTAGGGGGATGCGCCTGGGCAGGACATGAGAAATCTGTCTGGAGCGTTGGCTTCTGGAAGGGTCACCTAAGGTCTGAAGCCCCTCCAGCAATACCCAGTGCAGAGCAAGTAGGAATACAGCCTGTTCATTTAGGTAATAGCCCCTCCCATGAGGATCGGGTTGTCTAGGCCAGGGTCAGTAGCTGGATTCTTATGTCACATCAGGACTCCAAGGGCAAGGCCTCCTGACAAAACTTCCGGGCTCTGAGTAAATTTCATCCACTTAAAGCCCATCTCCGGCTTCCACAAAAAACGAAACTTCCAGTTACCCGACACCTTCCATGGTGAGCAGCTTTTATGGTGATTCTCGCCTTCTGCCTCACGGTGTCCTCCACTCATTCACTAGATCAGGGGTAGGCAAACTCCGGCCCTCCAGCTGAGGTGTAACTACAAATCCCATCATGAATCTGCCTGTGGGGTTCATGCCTGTGGCTGTCAGGTATTGACAATTAGGTATTGCAATGGCTAATGGGGTATGTAGTTCCACAGCAGCTGGGGGGCCGGGGTTTGACTACCCCCCTGCCCTAGATCCTGGTCCTCCTCTGGGTTAAATGATGGCCAGTGTCATTTAAACACATTTTTGTGAGCCCCGGGGGGCATGGACCTGCCCCCGGGAGGTCATCATCAGGCCAGCCTGAGCTTACAGTACCTCTGCACAGGACATCACCATGTGAGCTCAGTTCTGTGCCAGAGGGAGGATGGCCCACCACCACAGGTGTATTTTCTCTAATGTCATAGTTAAAGCTGAACTTCGGGGTAACTAGCAACACTCTGCCTTTCCTGGCACGACAACGCTTACTCACTCTACTGTATCTATGGAGGAGCAGTGTTGCCACCGTAGGACAGGAAGTGTGTACTACAGAAACCCCCCTCCCTCATCTCTACAGAACACACTTCCACTAGGTTATAGAGAGAAAGCTGCAAAATCTTCAATCCCCCCCAGTGTTGTCGGCACCTGGAAGCTTGCATGCATAGCGACTGTGTAGGTCAGACGCTTCCTCCGACGCACATGCGTTGTAACCCGAGGGCCTTGAGTATGTCATTCCAGGCATTGCGTCAGGCTCGCTGATAGTCTCCACCCACAGAGAGAGGCATATACCTTGGAAGTTTGTGGTCACATGACCACCATCTTAGTCTGTATTTCTGTAGCAATTTTTTTATGTTTTTCACTTAAAATTGTATTAAGCCGATTCCAGAGGTTGGGCTGGAGGTGGTCGTTGCATTGAATTGAGACTATTGCACCTCTAAGCACTTCCTGTCTTGCAGGTTCCGGGAAGATTTCAGGCCGCTGCTTCCAGGCTGCACGTGTTACTGTTGCCGCAACCACAGCCGCGCCTACGTCCACCACCTCCTGATCTCTAAGGAGCTGCTGGCCGGCATCCTGCTGATCATACACAACTTCCAGCATTATTTCAGCTTCTTCCGCTCTGCGCGGGCGGCTCTGAGAGACGGCAAACTTCATCTCCTCAAAGAGGCCATCCAGAGACGGGCACCCTGAGTCCACAGCCAATCCGCACCTCTGTGTCTGCGTTCCACTCCAGTAACCCACAGCAGCCAATCAATAATCAGCATATCATGTTTGGGTCTTGTGGTTTGTTTGTTTTTCTTTCCTCCACCATGTATTCCTTAAAGCAAACCTGTCATATAAATGAAAAGCTCCAATCCAACCTCCCGCCTTCCCAGTGCTTGGAAACAAGACTTTATTTTCTACCAGTCATTGAGGGACACAGCGGGATCCATTTGATCATTACCGGTGGGTTATAGTGCCACCCACAGGAGGGGGGGTGCTAAGTTCAAGTAAAAACAACTCGGGGAATGGCACCATCTAGTGGCCCAACCATGCAATTGCCAGACTCAGTTTTTGCCTTGCCTCCAAAGGGGAAGGACGTCTCTCATCCAGCTCCGGGGGGTTCAGAATCCCTAAGCCTTTTGGTGTCTATAGGGAAACATTTTTATTGAGTGACACAGGAGGAGAACGCTGCGTGCAACTAAGAAGCAACTATATGAAGGGCCACCATCTGGTGATCCAACCCTTAAATGGCCAGAAAGACTCTAGCGTTCAAGGAAGAAGGACCTCCAACCACCTATATGTTCAAGGAGGAAGGACCCCCTTAGCACCTAGCCTTCAAGGAGGAAGGACCCCCTTAGCACCTAGCCTTCAAGGAGGAAGGATCCCCCCCCAGCTACCTAGCATTCAAGGAGAAAGGACCCCCTAAGTACTTAGCGTTCAAATCCTAATATTGTATAAATGGTAGACAAGCCGTTTTTATAATGTGATATTAATAAAATGTCTTTTCCAAGCTTCTGTGATTTTCTACAACAGCCAGAAAAATCAAATAAAGCTTTTTTGCAACCATGGCAATGGCGGAAGGGTTCTTTAACTGCCCCCGACAACACTCCCAAGAATCTCCTGGCCGGTGATTGGCTTGCATCTCCCAGCAGATTTTATCTCATCAGAATACTGTGAATGATCATGTGATTTATTATCAGGCTGGCCCTTCCTTTAGGTAAAGACTTTTTAGTGGCAATCTCATGAGATGGAGGTGACGATGTGTATTATTCACTCCCCATCAAAAGTCTAGTTTCCCTTTTTAAGAGGTAACCCCAACACTAACCTTCCCGGTAACTCCAACACTAACCTTCCCGGAAACTCCAACACTATCCTTCTCTATAACCCCAACACTATCCTTCCCGGAAACTCCAACACTCGCCTTCTCTGTAACCCCAACACTATCCTTCCCGGGAGCTCCAACACCCGCCTTCTCTATAACCCCAACACTAACCTTCCCGGAAACTCCAACACCCGCCTTCTCTGTAACCCCAACACTATCCTTCCCGGAAACTCCAACACTCGCCTTCTCTATAACCCCAACACTATCCTTCCCGGAAACTCCAACACTCGCCTTCTCTGTAACCCCAACACTATCCTTCCCGGGAGCTCCAACACCCGCCTTCTCTATAACCCCAACACTAACCTTCCCGGAAACTCCAACACCCGCCTTCTCTGTAACCCCAACACTAACCTTCCCGGAAACTCCAACACCCGCCTTCTCTGTAACCCCAACACTATCCTTCCCGGAAACTCCAACACTCGCCTTCTCTGTAACCCCAACACTATCCTTCCCGGGAGCTCCAACACCCGCCTTCTCTATAACCCCAACACTAACCTTCCCGGAAACTCCAACACCCGCCTTCTCTGTAACCCCAACACTAACCTTCCCGGAAACTCCAACACCCGCCTTCTCTGTAACCCCAACACTATCCTTCCCGGAAACTCCAACACTCGCCTTCTCTGTAACCCCAACACTATCCTTCCCGGAAACTCCAACACTCGCCTTCTCTGTTACCCCAACACTAACCTTCCCGGAAACCCCAACACTAACCTTCTCTATAACCCCAACACTAACCTTCCCAGAAACTCCAACACCCGCCTTCTCTGTAACCCCAACACTATCCTTCCTGGAAACTCCAACACTCGCCTTCTCTGTTACCCCAACACTAACCTTCCCGGAAACCCCAACACTAACCTTCTCTATAACCCCAACACTAACCTTCCCAGAAACTCCAACACCCGCCTTCTCTGTAACCCCAACACTATCCTTCCTGGAAACTCCAACACCTGCCTTCTCTGTAACCCCAACACTATCCTTCTCTATAACCCCAACACTATCCTTCCCGGAAACTCCAACACTATCCTCTATAACCCCAACACTATCCTCTATAACCCTAACACTATCCTTCCCGGAAACCCCAACACTATCCTCTATAACCCTAACACTTTCCTTCCCGGAAACCCCAACACTATCCTTCTCTATAACCCCAACACTATCCTTCCCGGAAACTCCAACACTATCCTTCTCTATAACCCCAACACTATCCTTCCCGGAAACTCCAACACTATCCTTCTCTATAACCCCAACACCTTCCCGGAAACCCCACCACTACCCTTCTCTATACCCCCAACACTCTCCTTCCCGGAAACCCCAACACTATCCTTCTCTATAACCCCAACACTATCCTTCCCGGAAACCCCAACACTAACCTTCCCGGAAACTCCAATACTATCCTTCTCTATAACCCCAACACTATCCTTCTCTGTAACCCCAACACTATCCTTCCCGGAAACCCCAACACTATCCTTCTCTATAACCCCAACACTATCCTTCCCAGAAACCCCAACACTATCCTTCTCTATAACCCCAACACTATCCTTCCCTATAACCCCAACACTATCCTTCTCTATAACCCCAACACTATCCTTCTCTATAACCCCAACACTATCCTTCTCTATAACCCCAACACTATCCTTCCCGGAAACTCCAACACTATCCTTTTCTATAACCCCAACACTATCCTTCCCGGAAACCCCAACACTATCCTTCTCTATAACCCCAACACTATCCTTCCCGGAAACCCCAACACTATCCTTCTCTATAACCCCAACACTATCCTTCCCGGAAACCCCAACACTATCCTTCTCTATAACCCCAACACTATCCTTCCCGGAAACCCCAACACTATCCTTCTCTATAACCCCAACACTATCCTTCCCGGAAACCCCAACACTATCCTTCTCTATAACCCCAACACTATCCTTCCCGGAAACCCCAACACTATCCTTCTCTATAACCCCAACACTATCCTTCCCTGAAACCCCAACACTATCCTTCTCTATAACCCCAACACTATCCTTCCCTATAACCCCAACACTATCCTCTATAACCCCAACACTATCCTCTATAACCCCAACACTATCCTTCCCGGAAACTCCAACACTATCCTTCTCTATAACCCCAACACTATCCTTCTCTATAACCCCAACACTATCCTTCCCGGAAACCCCAACACTATCCTTCTCTATAACCCCAACACTATCCTTCCCGGAAACCCCAACACTAACCTTCCCGGCAACTCCAATACTATCCTTCTCTATAACCCCAACACTATCCTTCTCTGTAACCCCAACACTATCCTTCCCTGTAACCCCAACACTATCCTTCTCTATAACCCCAACACTATCCTTCCCTATAACCCCAACACTATCCTTCTCTATAACCCCAACACTAACCTTCCCGGAAACCCCAACACCCACCTTCTCTGTAACCCCAACACTAACCTTCCCGGAAACCCCAACACTATCCTTCTCTATAACCCCAACACTATCCTTCTCTATAACCCCAACACTATCCTCTATAACCCCAACACTATCCTCTATAACCCCAACACTATCCTTCCCGGAAACTCCAACACTATTCTTCTCTATAACCCCAACACTATCCTTCTCTGTAACCCCAACACTATTGTCTGCCTGCGTTGTCACCCTGTGACTCTGGATTCCAATGGAGACTACAAGCGGCTGTTTCAACACACATTACGCAGATATGGTCCACTATTGTCACCATCAGGAATCCCGCCATGCAAAATGTCATGCAGCCATTGCTGGAGCACATCTAGACAGGAACCCCTGCACTCTGCATTACTTACTACTGACCCCTAAACACAGCGTTACTACTAACCCCTGCACTCTGCATTACTTACTACTGACCCCTAAACACAGCGTTACTACTAACCCCTGCACTCTGCATTACTTACTCCTGACCCCCTGCACTGTGTGTTACTTACTGTGAAGACATGGTGATGAGTTTATGAGTTAAATGTGTATTGGTGTTGAGTTATGTTTAATTATGTTAGTCTTTTCATAACCAGGTTACACAGTATATTAGCAGCCCCCCCCCCCTCGTTACCTCCCTTTGTACTCTGAAGGAGCTCCTGACCCCTGCACTCTGCATCACTTACTACTGACCTCTGCACTCTGCTTTTCTCCTGACCCCTGCACTCTGCATCACTACTGACCTCTGCACTCTGCTTTACTCCTGACCCCTGCACTCTGCGTTACTTACTCCCGACCCCTGTGCTCCAAATTTCTCCTGCACTCTGCGTTACTCCCTACCCCTGCACTCTTTATTTCTTATTCCTGACCTCTGCACTCTGCGTTACTTACTGCTGACCCCTGCACTCTGCGTTACTCCCTACCCCTGCACTCTTTATTTCTTACTTTTGACCCCTGCACTCTGCATTACTTACTCCTGACCAGGCTAAGGTACTCGTACTAGCTGATGTTGACATAGATTTCTTGATCATGTGATGAGTAGTCGCGTTGGTCCGTGTTTTTTGTTTGATTCTATTTTTAATATCCACTCAGCTGTAGTTTGTATCCGGTGACTTACGCAGATACAATCCTGGCCCTGGCGGTGAAGAGGTTAATCCGCTCTGTGCAGAGTTCGTATTGTCGCTGTGATCCCCCCCCCCGTTCTGTGGAACGTTCCATGGCAGGCGACAGCTCAGCCGTGTCATTCCTCGCTGTCTCGCCGCGGCTGATGTTTCTCTGTTTTGTTTTGCTGTCGCCACAAATGAGCTTCTCCAAATTGGATAAAAACGAGTTGTGTGGTAATTGATGCTATCCCGTCGCAGTTTTATTAATGCGGCGGCTCCGCTGTGAGCATAATACGTTAACTGGCACCGAAGTCTCATTCCTGGCAGAGACGATTGCA